AGAGTAGTTTTAGAGTCATGGCAAAACTGAGCAGAAGGTAGAGATTTCCCACATCCCCCCTTGTTTCCACACATGCATAGCCTGTATCATTATCAACATCTGCCACCAGAGTGGCACATATGTTACAAGTGATGGACCTACATGTCAGACATCTGCCCAACAGATTTGCAAAGTACAAGCCAAGTGCGCTGAAGTCCTCTGTTCAAGGTCAATAGCCAGGCGCCATCAAAACTGGGCTAACTTACCTGGATCCCTCTCCTGTGTCCTTCCCAGATAAACCACCATGGATTCAGGGAAACACACATGGCAAACTACAGACTGACATTCATTCTACAGGATACCTAATTTCATCATGTCCTGAAAAAGTAACCATTGTCAAGGATCAAAATGGCTGAACTTCCTGCAGGATGTAGAGAGGACTCTGCTTTTCTCTAAGATGCTCTTCAGCATTATCAGCATTGATTCATACTTCTGGAACTCTACATACTAAATGCCATGGCCGACAACCTTATTATATCATGGAATTACTGGCATAAGAATACACCAGAACATAGTACTCAGCTGCACACTAAAATTATCAGTGCTCACTGGGCATGGTGGCACACACCTGTAATCCCAGCACTCAGGAGGCTAAGAGAGAAGGATCACCATGAGTTTGAGGCCAGCCTGGACTACATAGTAAGATCCTGTCTTCAAAATACTTAATAAAATAAAATAAAATTATCAGCTCTTTTTCTTCTTGGAGACCAATGTATAGAGGTATCTTCACTGATAAAATCTCTATTAGAGCCAGGTATGGTGGTGCATGGCTACAGTTACCACCTACTTAGGATGCTGAGGCAGGAGGATCACTTGAGCTCAAGAAGTAGGAACCAACATGGGGAACACTGTGAGACCCTATTAAAAACAGACCAAAAAAATGTATTAGATCTTTGCCTCACTCAAAAGATTTCCTTCCCCATGATTGGGCAGATCCCCTTAGCCACAGTTTCACTTCCGATGATTTCAGTTATCCTCAGTCAACAAAGTCCAAACATATTGAACAAAAACTTCAGAAATAAGTTATCATTTTAATGCTGTTTTGAGTGGCATGATGAAACCTCACCCTGCCCCACTGCAACATTCCCGGGACACAAATTATGGCTTTGTCCAATATATCCCCACTCACACACCACTAGCTCATTATCAGTGAACAGCATGCTTGTTTTCAAGTAATCTGTATTTTACTTAAAAATGGCCTCAGATCAAAAAGTAATGATGAACAAAACCAATCTTCCTATGTCTTATTTAGATCAAGCAGAGACTTCTGATTCGCAGCTAAACAGGATAAATGTCCCTCTGACTGGCCTGAAGGAGCCCTAAGAAGGTAGCTCTTCTGCCCCTTTGGCCCCTCTACACCCTTATGAACAAGGGATTTGGGGTTCAGAGGTAAGACAGGAGAAATAACACGGCTGAAGAGAAAATAACCACGTATAAATTGTCCTTTTAACAAGACTATAACTTCAGGACACAATTAGGGTTACTCAAGGTTATGCACATCTGTACTCAGTAGGCTTATTTGTTTTCTTGCAGACCCATCACACCCAAAATCTCTTAAAGATACTATAAGTCTGTAAGTTAGCTTAGTTGATAAAATAAAGGGCAGAAACCTAACCTGAAGAGAAACCGATTCAAAGGTTTTAAAGTGTATTTTTTAGGCAAAGTAACTTATATCACCCATCTTTAAAAAAAAAAATACTACAGATGGCACCCACGCCCTCCTCCTGTAAAATGGGCCACCTTTCACCTGGGAAATGAACCATCATCTTCCCACCTGTGGGGGCCATCACTGTAAACCCTGTAAACCGAGCCCAAACTTTCTACAGATTCACAAATTCCACAGGTTTCCGCCACTAAAACCACATACATATTCCCAGCTCCAGACTATAATGTGCTTCTCTCTTAAGGGCCCACAATCTTTGAGTGTATACTTTAAAAAATTCTGTCCAATAAATTTCTTTGTACTTCTTAAAAGTAGTGATGTCGGTAATGTAGATGTGCCTTGAGTATCATCTCAGATCATCATGAGAAAGGTGAGTAAAGTGCAAGAAACTTTGAGAAAAACCCCATTCATATAACTTTTATTAAAGTATATTGTTAAAATTTTTCTGCTTATTATTCTTAATCTCCTACTCCATTAATTTCCAAATTAAACTTTAGAAATGTACATATGTATAGGAAAAATGATATATGCAGGGATCAGTACTACCTAAGGTTTCAGGCATCATTCAGGCATCCAGAGGGTAAAGAAAGGCTGCTGTACATTTTAATGATTATATGCAAGTTAGTAAATAAAATGCTGATCAGTCAGTCGCTTGAAGCAGGGCAAGTGCGTGTCTTTACTTTCCTGGACAGTGTCCAGAGTGATAATTGAGAGTGTGATGAAAGGAAACATTTCAAGGGCAGGCCCACAACTCCTATTGCTTTTTACTGATAAAGAAATGGATACATGAGTTCTCTGTACATATTCTACACATATGTGCTGAATGAGCATGTTTCATATTATAATACAAGTTGATAAGCCTTATGTGAAATGCTCCAAGCAAGAAGTGTTTCAGATTTGGGTGTTTTGTTTTGTTTTTTAATTTAGAATATTTCATACACACACTGAGCTCTCTTAGGGATGGGACCCATGTTTTCACATGAAGTTCATTCATGTTTTGTATCTGCCTCACACACAGAGCATGCAGGTAATGTTATACAGTATCTTCAGTGCAATCTGAGTTTAAATTGCATGCTGCCATCACAAGGCTGGGTGTATGTACCTGGAGGTTGCATTGCATCCCACAAGGAGTCAACTGAATGCAAATGACACCAATGACTGAATTTTCACTTGGGTCATGTCAGCACTCAAAAAGGTTTGAATTTTTAAGCTGGGCATGGTGGTGCACACCTGTAATCCCAGCACTCAGGAGGCTGAGGCAAGAGGATCGCTGTGAGTTTGAGACCACCCTGGGCTACATAGTGAGTTCCAGGTCAGTCTCAACTACACAGTGAGACCCTGTCTCAAAAAACCACCACCAAAAACAACAACAAAAGGTTTGGATTTCAGATTTTTACATTAGAGATACTCAGTCTGTAATGACTGCCTCATGAAGAGCTAAAATTTTAAGTAGTGTGCAGTGGCACATGCCCGTAATCCCAGCACCCTGGGAGGCTGTGACAGGAGGATCACAAGTTTGAGCCCAGCATGAGGAACTTAGCAAAACCGTTTTAATTTATTTTAAATTTTATTTATTTTTTTTAATTAAAGGCTAGAGATGTAGCTCAATGAAAGGCCTGTCAGAGTATCTACATTTCTGCAGGCATACTGAAGAAAGCAAAAATCTCCTTCAAAATCCCAAGCTTCTTCACCAAATACAGTGAGGACTATCACAACCTCCCGCCCTCCCAGAGTCCATGATACAGTCTTAATTCATAATCTCCAAGGAAAAGGAAGACATTTTTCTACTAGAATATTAACTAAATTACTTTTTCTAGTAGACAATCTGACATCTTCAGCTAATGAGAGATCTTTATGGGCCTATTCCCTCCAGTCTCTGAAACCATAATGAAGGTACTCTAAAGTCAATTTCCAAAATCATCATAAAGAACATGTTTGATTGTATTTTTATATCAGCCATTGGCATCATCTGAATAAAATATGCCCCGTCAGATACCACACACCTCTCAGATTCATGCACTTACACAAGTGCCTCAGCCTTCTGATATGCCTTCCCATTCATCTTATAACATTTCATTTATTTTTATCAGAAAATAAACAGCTAACTTTCCCCCACATGTGCTTACAGAAACTTGGCTTGCCAAATAAATTAAAATCAGATATATAAAGAAATTAATGGCCAGGTGTGGGGGTACACGCCTGTAATCCCAGCACTCAGGAGACGAGGCAGGAGGATCACTGAGTTCGAGACCAACCTGGGCTACATAGTGAGTTCCAGGTCAGTCTCAACTACATAGTTAGACTCTGTTTCAAAAAACAAACAAACAAAAAAAGAAATTAATGTAAATAGTGTGTGTGTGTGTGTGTGTGTGTGTGTGTGTATATCCCAGCACTCTGAGGCAGAAAGATAGCAAATTAGAGGCCAGCCTGTATAATTTAATGAGAATCTGTCTCAAAAATAAGTGAAAGGGGCTAGGGATTTAGCTCAGTGGTGCCACCCCTACCTGGCAAATACAGGGTCCTGAGTTCCATCCCCCAAAAAAAGATACTACCCCCTCCCAAAAATTAAAAAACAAGTGAGAAATGGGCTGGGGATATAGTTTGATGCAAAATTCCTGGGTTCAATCTCCAGAACATGTAGCACACACACACACACACACACACACACACACACACAAACACAAATATATAATACAGAGTCTCAGAATCAGTAATTGACCTGGTTCTACTCTACAGCATCTTTAGTGCAGGTTCTGAATCTGAAGTGTTCCTAAGAATCATCTAGAGAGCCATGCAATACACATTCCTGGCTTCTCCCCACAGTGCAAATAATTAAAGACATTTGGGCCTCAGGAATCTGCATTTTCATTCAATAAGTATCTCAGGAGACTCTGAAGCACAGCCATAAAAAGCCAGAGGGAAAGGAGGTAATGCAATTTATTGGAACAAATCAGAATCTGAACTTGAATTCCAGGACTGTCGCTATGGAGCTATGAAATCACAGGTTTAACTTCCCTGGGTCTCAGTTTACTCACCTGTAACCGGATGGGTGCTATATTCATAGCTATGATGCCTTCCCTCCCGCTATGAAATTCCCTGGTATGTTAATGCCAAGCAGGGTAGCTCCACAAATGTGGATGCTCTTAAATTTTCTTACATAGTAGCCTTTGAAATGTATGTAAGTGGCATTATCTATTCAAGTATTTCTACATCAGAGGAGTCTCTTGACTATACCTTACACATGCCAGATACTTAGTTCAACATCACACTGCAGACAATGCCAATTGCAGACACATACCGTACACTGAGCTGTGGACGCCGGAGTGTCCACTCCATGTGCAGCTGAAAAGCCTGTGGGAATCAGGATTGTGAGCAGTTAACTTGGATACCTTTCCAGACTTTAAAGACCACAATCTTGACATCATTACCAATGTTTCCAAAGAACCAGGGCTCCAGTTAAGTGGTGCCTTTTGGGGAAGTAATTACCCGCAGCTACTTTTATCTCAGGAACTGCTTTGGGGGAGGAAAGTCTGACTTTATAAAGAGAGCTAGAAGTTGCAACCCAAGTGTCTCAACATTAAAAAAAAACTGTACAGTTTGCTAGAGCTGAGATTAAACGTTTATCCTTCTCTTACAACCGCTTTGGTTTCCAGGGAACTGACTGTTACGGTAGAGGCAGGCCGAGGAGAGGTACCTCCACAGACACGCACAACACACACCAAAGTTTACTGAACATTTTCAAAGTCTCTTTTTATGCCTTCAACTCAAAGATGAACACATTTCAAGGTGACCCAATCCTCCAGCGACAGACAGTGTTTTAAAAGGGCCAGAACTCTCCACTTAAACAATTTCGAGTGATAGGTTTAAACCGCATCCTCAAGGGCCCTGTCTGCTATCTCATTCAGTAGACTTTCTTTCCTGGCAGAGACATCCCATTTTAAATAGGTGCTTGAAGTTTCTCTTCCTTCCTAATAATTAAAATCCACAGGGCTCACATGCTGTGAAGAAAAAAAAAAATGTTTTTTTAACTTAGCAGGCGCCATGGAGGTTTTTTAATTATTTAATTATACAACAAGCCCAGATGATTAGGCTATGCATTTTTCTATTTATCAAAACAGTATCAGAATAATAAAAGAGCTCCATCACTTATACTTACAACCAAAAGGTAAGACTTCAAAGGTAGAATAAAATAAGCATTCATTAAGAGGATGCCCTATTTAAAGTCAAAAAATGTACATAATCACACTACTGACTACTGTGTGTATGCTTTGTACAGAGAATATGACTTTTTTTTCTTCATGTGAATCTCTCTCCCTTTCTTTTGTACCAGGAATAGAACTCAGGGCCTTGCGCTTGCCAGGCAGGCACAGACGCCTCCATCCCCGGCCCCGCCTAGCATGTGTCTGTTACCTGTTTTAACACAGTGCAGGTGATGATGGACATGAGCAAGCTTCGGGACAGCAGAGGCCAGGTGAGGTCCCATGGGATCTGCAGCCATGACCAACAAGTACCAGAATATCAGGCACTCTATGGAAGGTTTTTAAATAATTGTGTACAAAAATGTATTTTACAAATTCCCTCTGGCCAGGCATGCTCGTAATCCCTTGGGAGGCTGAGGCAGATGGAGGTCACCCTGGGCTACACCGTGTGTTCAAGGCCACTGTGAGCTACACAGTGAGACCCTGTCTCAAACAAACAGAAATGTACTCTGGCCTTCTTCCCCACCCCCTCCCTATCGCCCTGAAGTATTGAAGTAGAGATAAAGAAGGAGGTGGACAAGACAAGCATTTGGACCAGGTCAGGATGTGGGCACTCTGTTCCTGAAGAGGGGTGTGGGAACCCCAAAAACAGACAACTAGGTGTGAGAGAAGGGGTTAACCCATGTGGACAGCAGCACATAGAGTGTTTCAAATGCGGAAAAGAAGAACCGAGAATAAATCAAGTGGTGTTAGATCAGAATAGAAGGTGATCAGCATGAATACCTGGATATATATAGGGGGAGGATAGGTAAATAATATAGAAGTGATATGTGTCTGCACACGTGTGTGTGTTTGCACAAGTGAATGAAACACATATTTCTTTCATCTCTGTAAACTAAAGGTCTTGGGAACAGACACACCCCAGTCACCAAGAACAACCTAGTGCTCCTATCTCAGCTTTTAAAATCATTATCCACTGGGGGGAAAACAAAACAAAACAAAACAAAACAAAACAAAAAACCTCCTTAGGGAACTAGTGGTCTCCAGTACAGAGAGAGGAAAATTATGAGATGTAGCTCAGAGGCACAGCTCCTGCATGGCAAGCATGAGGCCCTGTGCCAAAGAAGAACCACCAGCACAGTACATATTCATTACAAAGGCTAAGGAGTAACTTGACAGAGAAGAAGCTGGGAAGACACCATCCTAATCAAGTGATCAAAATATTAACAATAACAAGACAAATGCAAATCACGCACTGCCGACAGATGCAATGAGAACACAGAGCCATTTCTGTGGCATTCTGGCCAAAAAAGCACAACTGTGAAAAAACACCAGTACACAGAAACTGAGGAAATTCTGCAAAATGACTGGACTGAGCCATGCACTGTGGCTCAAGCTGTAACCCCAGCACTCAGGAGGCTGAGGCAGGAGAATCAAGAGTTCAAGGCCAGCCTACGTAAGGTACATAGTAAGTACAAGGCCAGTCGGATCTACATAGCAAAACCCTGTCTCAAAACATAAAAGAACAGCTGGCCTATATCTGTCCAAAGTATAAAGATTGTGCAAGTCAGTGAAAGACTATGCAATTATTACAGACCAGGTGATAAAAAAAAGATATGTAGAGACATAATCAATGTGTGATTTGAAGTGGATCTTCCTGAAATAAAAAGACATTATCAGGACAACTGACTGAAATTGAACTCTGCACATTCGAAAAGTAGTGAAGTATCAATGTCAATGTTCATATTTTAATGGTACTGTGTTGCAGTTATCGAGGCAAATGGCACCATACGAAGGAAATATGAAAGCACCCAGGATGTGGAAGCATAAAAGTCATCAGTTTCCTCCAGTGGCTCAGAGGGAAAGATCCTTTGTGCTGTACTGAAACTTGCCAAAAAATGTCAGATTATTTCAAAGTCTAAAAATGTTTTTACAGCAAAAATGTATAGTGGCTTACATGCAATACTCCATGAAAGAATAATAAATTCAGGATAAACTATTAAGTTATATAAAAGTAATTATCTTCACATTATCTTTCTTGTTAGAGTTTGGATCCTAAACACCCGCCAAAGGTTTCTGTGTTGAAAAAGTTTCTGCCCCCAGCTGATGGTGCTACCTAGAGGTAGGAAGTGGGGCAGAAGGAAGGTCACTGGTGACACCAGCCATGGAGGGGATAAGGGGACAAGGGTCTCTCCCTTCTCCCTCTTTCCTCCCTCTCCCTCTCTCTGCTTCCCAGGCCCCATGACACAAACTGCTGCTGTCCCATGTGCTCCCTACCACAGTGCTCTGCCTTGTCACAACCCCAAAACTAGAAGGCCAAACACCATGGACTGAAACCTCTGAATTCGTGAGCACAAATAAATCTTCAAGTTCTTTTTCTTAGGTATTTTGTCACAGTGATGGAAAGCTAACTTTTACTAACTTCTCTACTATATGGTAAATAAAGTATTTCTCTAACTAGAATTATATATACATGTGAGAAAGGCACAGATACTTTCTTTCTACTGGGTGTGATATCACATGCTTGTAATCTCAGCACTCTGAAAGGCTGAGGCAGGAAAATCACAATTTCTAGACCAGCCTGGGCAACTCAGCAAAACTACTGTCTCAAAATAAAAAATTAAAAACAGCCTTGGGATGCAGCTCAGTGCAAAGGCCCTGGGTTCAATCAACAGTAAAAAAAAAGAAAAAAAAATGTTGTTCTGTTTTGGTTCTCCTAAGGGTCTTTGATTTAAGTTTGTCAGGAAGTACTATAGAATAAAATGAAATGTGTACAATAGAAAATAATAAAACGCAAAGAATTAAAAGCATCTCATAAATCCTGCATTTGAGCCATGACCTCGAGTCCTCCTACCTCATAAACATTAAGCAAGACTGTTGCTTTTGAGCTTTATTTTTCTCTTCATGAAATGACAACAACTTCTACCACTTAGGGTGACTAAGGGAAATAAAGGAGATATCTGTGAAAGTATTCTACTAAACCTAAAGAACTAGACAGCCAGCCCTCCACATCTGTGGATACTGAATCAACTGTGTGTATAAAATATTGGAGGAAGAAATTTGGGGGAAGAAACTGCATCTGTACTGAACATGTACAGAATTTCCTTCTCATTATTCCTAAGCTATACAGTATAACAATATTTACATAGCATTTATTTTATCTTAGGTATTATAAGTAATCTAGAGAGAATTTAAAGTGGACAAGAGGAGATGGGTATAGCTTAAATGTGAATACTATGCCATTCAATATAAGGGGCTTGAATATTTTCAGATTTTTGTATCAAAGGGTTTCCTGGAACTAATCTCCTGTAATTCCAAGGGATAAATGAATATATATGCTAACTATTAAGATAAAATATATTGGATTTGACATAAAACACATTCATCAATTTTATCATTTTAAAAAATCTCAAGTTATCTCCTCTTGAGAAATTCCCTGTAGAAATCTAAAAATTTTTTAATTCCACCTTACCACCTGAGCCAAGAGCTATAAGTAATAGTCAAATTTTCACATGTCACCTAGTGAGGAATAGGCTATCTTACTCCTAAAAAATTTATTTAAGCAGGAGTTGACTTGTAATTCAAAGATAAACTATAATGTCCTGTGTCTCCATAAATAACAACAACAATAGAGATCCTTAAAAGGTGATAATCAGGTTCTCACTTGCAATCCACATATTTCTTAAACTATTTAAGCTTTGTTTACAACTAAAGAGATTATACCTTGATTGCTCAAGAAACTTGTAAGAGGAGCCTCAGAGTTAGAAATCTAACAGAAAAACATCATCCTACATTAAAATATAATTAGCACAAAAAGGGAAAAGAAAAAAATGTGAGAGAATGAAAAGATGAAAATAAAGTGTTTGTAGATGGGGAGGGGAGGAGGGGGTGAAGGGAGGGCAGAGGTAAGGGGAAAAAATGAGAATCAAGACTTGCCATGTAAAGGTACATGATCCCAACAATGAATGTAACTGTACTGTATCCCTAAAATGTACCAATAAACTCAATAAAATTAAAAAATATATATATATATAATTAGCCAATATTTCACTATTTCCACCTGTTTTTCGCCCACAAACACAAGAAGAGACAAAATTGGTTTTAAACACAGGAAGCTCGAGTAAGCCCAAAGACTGGAGAATGAGAGCCAGGGTTTTACAAAAACTCAAGAGACTGGACAATTAAAGAAAACCCTACTCTGATCCTGGGTTTGTGCTCTGATT